TTTATTCACAGCAATGTGTGTGTGTGTGTTCTCTAGGTAACCACTCTGTACCTGGTCCAAGTGAGCAGTCTGCTGAGTGTGTGGCTCCTCCAGTTCTGTAACTCCATGATCCTGGGATCACTGGTGCTGAGCTTCATCGTAGCCGCACTCTTCATCAGACACTGCCAGGTTAGTGTGTGTGTGTGATGGTTCAGAGAATAAAGTTCTAAATCTGTGAATTAAAAACTGGTAAGTGTATCAAAGTCACACAGGGAAATATGCAGCCAGACAAACACAGATGGAAGATTAAGCCGCATGGCGTGAAGAAGCCCGTGATGAAGTCTGATTTTGAAAAAGATAATACAAATTCTGGAGACACATTTCCCTGTCAGGTATAAATGTAATTTAGTTAAATCAGATCTTATCACAGTAACAATTACAAAACCATTTCATTTGACAGGGTGAAAGTGGAAATAAGACAGCTGGAGAAATGTTAATTATCAAAGATATGAAAAGAAAATGATCTTGAAAATAAGTATAAGCCATTCTTTTAGAGGTTGTGTATGGGTGAGTTTTTGGCTGATGTCTGGTTAGTTTTCAAGCTGGTGTATCCAGCCAAACATCATCTGTCAGATCAAAGAAGCATCACTCTGTGAAATGGCTCACTAGGGAATATGTCTGTCTGTAGTTCTACACCAACACGGCTGCCTTATGAATTGCACTTGTTTGAATCCCTACATTATTTATATGATCAACTCTGAATCAGGACCATAGAATAAGAGAACAACAAAAACAGGAAATCATTGAGTTTTATTAATTAAACCTTTGTTACAAATGTTGAAAGCTGAAATTAAGGGATTCAAAAATAGATTCAATTGAAATAAAGCTTTCAAACCCAACTCTAGTTGCTGCAACAAAAACACCTCATCAGTTTGCTTTTAAATAATCATTTGTTAAAGTTGCATATGAACTGGTGTATTGTCTTTTTCTTTTGTGGATTGTATTTCACTGGAATTGTTACTCGTACTATTCCATGTGACACATTTGATTGCTTGAACTTTATAGCCAAGATTTGAGACTCACTTTTGTCCTGCATGTTATTACTATGTCCCACCTCTGGGTTGAAATGTATAAACAGCTTATTATTTTATTTTTTCCGAATCAGAAATCCTTTATTCATCCCACAATGAGAAATGTACATAGTTACAGCAAAGGGACAGTGCAGAAAGTAAGTGAACATATTCAGCAGCTGGTTATTACTTGAATTACTTGTAGAAAAGTGTTAAGGCACATAACAGAGATGATCTGTGGTGTAACAGTCTAACACAGTTAAGTAGCAGTCAGTAATAACAATTATAAACTGCAAAGGAAATGTGTACTTCATCGGATAATAATATGTCAGCCATGGCAGACAGTGTCCACATTTAATATGAATATAAATTGAGACATGGTGGTTTCTAACACAGGATGTGTGTGTGTATAGATGTGTCTGTCAGCTGCATTGAGTGTAAAAGTATGTTTTGTTGCTGTCTGCTCCTGCAGTCTGGTCTGAAGACAGGAAGTCCTCTCGTCCGTCTGGGCAGACTGCTCCTCCACAGCGCCATGGTCCTCCTCCTCACCGTCACCATCAACTACCTGGCCAAGGTGCTCCTCACAGCTTTTCTTTTACAGAAGCCCTGGGAGGAAAGTCAGAAAAGATTTTTAAAACACGAAAGAGTGGTGTGCTCAGCCTCTTGTGGCCTAAAAGAGTATTACAACAAGAAACTTGGAAAAATTAAATGATCCCCTTCACCTATTACAATCATTTGGTGTAATGGAAGGTAATGTATTTGCAGGATTCTTGCTTTTTTTAAATGTGTATCTTCTTGGTTGAATGCACTTATCGTACGTCGCTTTGGATATTTAATGAAATATAATGTAATTATCATAATGAAATGAAAACGATTTAAATCAGATTAGGAAATAGGTGACTTGCCTCCCAGGGCTTCCATCCTCTCACACCCCTCCTCTCCCGTTCCTCTGCTCCTCCATGTGCTGTCTTAATATTGCTCCACCCCCCCACTACACTCTCCCACTCCTGCAGCCCTCCTCTCCTCATGTATCTCCAACTCGTAAGCTTGATCTCGGCATGGTTTATTTAACTTATTTGTACATCTCAGCGTGTTGATCTGTAGCCCTGACAGGATGACCATATCTGTGTGTTTATGTGTGTTTACAGAAAGCACTTCAGCTCAGATCAGACGAACACATCTTTAAATTCATCAAGTCAAAGTTTGCCTTGGGGCCAACGAGGTATGAACACACACTCGTAGATGCCTAAACACACACACCAGAACATTCCCATGCTTCTCCTCTCTAACACAGTCACACTTTATTCTGATAAATCCATATTTCAGAAGCACACACACACGCAGTCTGCACCCATACACCTCTTGACTTGATCTAAGGTGACTGTATTATTCACTAAGCACCAGGATTGTAGCACCTAGAGTGTTAGTGTGTGTGAATAATAGATGTCGGGGTAACGCCATCAGGCCTCCCATCGATCAGATAGTGTGTGTGCAGTGCGGGTTGCTGCTCCTGGGTGGCAGATAACACGGCTCTCATCCCAACGCCACACAACCGGACCTTCAATTATTCAGGAGGCTTTCTCCTCTGCCTCTGCCTGCTTCTCTCACTCGCTGATTCATTTGTTGTACTCCTATCTTATTTTCTTATCCCTATTCCCACCTCAATAACTTATCTGCACACCTGTTCTCCAGAAGCACGGGAAATAACACACGTTGATGGCATATGAAGATAATAGATCCAGTTCATTATGGGAACATTTGCTCTATAATTGCAATTTTTTTCCGATCAGTTGCACAGAATTAGTTGTTTCATGTGATACCTGGGGCTGCAACTCTGATTATTTTGATTATTGATTCATCTGCTTCTTTAATCTGCTTCTAGATTCATATGTGTATCCTTTTGTCTGTATAATATGAAAAATGTCCATCCTTAAAGTCCAAGTCCATGTCATTAATGTCTTGTCTTGTCAGTTCAAAACCTAAAGATATTTACTTTAGCATTATATATAGAAGAAAAGTAGGACATTTAAATAACAAATGTTTTGTTTAAAGAGTCCCTGCTAAGCTTTTTTGGCGTTTTTCCCTTTCCTGTAATGTGTTCTAAAGGTTTTTGTGCATGTGAATGGTCTGCAAAGTTCACCCCCCCCCCCCCGTTTTAATCATGTGTCCGTCTTTCCCATTCTCAGGGACTTTGATGCCAGTCTGTACCTGTGTGAGGAGGCGTTCGGCCTGCTGCCCTTCGACACTCTGGAGCGCCTGGCTGGCACCCTGCTGCTGTACCCATACATCCTCACCCTGCTGCTGCTCAGCGGCATGCTGGCAGTGGCTGCTCTGCACAACCTCAGGTATAGCCGGAGGGCACTTGGAGGGGGGGTGTACAACTACTTTTGAAACTCCTTTCAGGAGTTTTTTTTACCCTAAAATGCGTTCAATACAACTGGAAGTGGAAAAATGCTGACTCATTTTCGTGTTTTGGGATTCATTCCTGCACAACTCTATTGGCAGGACTTAGAACTAACAACCCAACTCTTTACAGCTTTTTATTTTTACAGTTAATATTTTAGAAATGTATTCAGCATCCTCAATAACCCCCAAAACTACTCCAAAATTGCCCAAATTGGCCAATAATGCTAATTAATGCAATTTATGTTAATATTGCAATTTGCCCAACATATGCAAGTTGGCATACGGCCGTTTCTATGTGCTGGGTGCCCGTACTATACATTTCTAACATAAAACTTTGGGGTACTCATTTTCTGGTTCACAATAGGACTCTATGAGCTGGCAAATAGACTAAAGACACTTTCGGAGAGGTAACTTCTGTGTGCGACTTTTGTTCATTTAAGTGGGTCGTTTTCACATCTGTTACTAACTAATGCTTTGAGCTGTAGATGGTTTGTGTCATGGTAATTTTATCTTACTCTTACTTCCATTTTATTGATATTAATGAATGATTTCATTATTGAATCAAGTGGCAGTTGAGTGATCTCCTCCATCTGTCCTTCTGTCTTCTTCTCTCTTAACATAGACTAAAAGCTAATGAGCTGTAGAGTCTGAAGTGTATAGGCGCTTTCAAACCGCAGTACTTTTCCCACAAAGGTTCATGAGAACTCTTTAGTTCTCATGAACTAAGTACAGATCACGTTCACACCGGAATCAGTCCCTGGGGGAGGATTAGGCAAATGAAGCCGCTGACGTCACTTCTTCTTCTTCTGCTTTGGGTTTACTGGCAGGCCGCAAACAACTTCACGGCGTACACTGCCACCCGAAGTCCCCGGCCGGAAGTCCCCGGAGTTGGGGACTGGCTTCAGTAGAAGCTGCTGGGACTCCCAGAGTAAATCGCCAGAACGCCGACACCTCCTCATCTCCACTGCTCCCATGTTTTCTTTTGTGTTGCCATAAGTTAGTCTCTCTGCGTTTGTGCGCTGGGCTAATGCTAATGCTAATAATGCTAATGCGAGGATAATAAAATGGCTGCTTCACAAAACTTTTTGGGAGTTTTACGGGGCGTGGTTTTCATTCCGCCCAGCCAATCAGACATAGGAACCTTTTTCTCCCACGAAAGTCCCTGCTCTCTAGCAGGGACGGAAAAGGGGGGAAAAAGGTTCTCATGAGCTAATTTTAGTTCCGGATTTTTTAGTGTGAACGCGACATTTCGGAACTATATCGGAACTAAAGTGGGAAAAGTACTGCGGTGTGAACGCGCCTTATGGGTGTGTGCGGGAACACTCAACAAAATGTTGTGATTTGTTTGCGTACTTTTTGATGTACTCTCTTATATAGCAAAGCCTTCAGGGTAAAAGGAACAACGACAGTACATTGTTAACCTATAGCAGCAGTTTACTGGAACATTACCAGGCCGTAATTGGAGGTCTGCTCTCTATTCATCACATCAACATTGGACTTACCTTCACCAGATGGAGAAAACACAACTTTGAATTTGTTTAAATTCATTCAACTTAACACACTTTGTTGAAAGAGTCACCATTTTGTCATTGATAAGTATGAAAGGAAATTATCTCCAATAGCATCATACATGAAAGAGGAATGGTTAAATGTTATAACTATAGGGGCAACAAATATTACAGAATAAGTTCTCACAATTGGTAATTTTCCCGCTGCTCATCCTTTTTTTTTTAAATGTCTTTCTTTGTGTTCGTGTCTATTTTGTGTGGTTTTTGGTGTGTTTTATCTTTAGTCTATAAAACATGAATAATTGTGTTAATGCAAAGTGTAGCTACACTGTTCTTAGTTAAAACCAGTGTTCATTTTGGAATTTATTTTAATGTAGTCTTAGTTGTAGTCTTTAGACAGAAATTCATATTAGTCTTTGTCACATTATATACATTTTCATCCTTATAGTTTTAATCTAGTTATAGTCGACAACATTCCTAACGCTATATTCAACTTTAGTCTTTCATTTTAGGCAAAATGTTTTCTCTTATCATTTTTTCATCTTTGTTATTACCTATTTAGTCTTGTTCTGTTCAAAATGTCCTTTTTAGTCATCTGAAGGAACAGAAGGAACTGTATGACGGTACAATTGCTTACTCATATCCAGGTTTAGGAGTCATTCCTTAGCGTTTAAATGGCGTCGTGTCATCCTCGCGTCTTTGTTTCACCTGGTTGACACTTGCCTCAGCAGCAATGTAGAAAGGTGTGGCAAATGTAGACGTTGCTTTCAGAATCAATCCTGCAAAAATTGAAAATCATGTTTGTGATAATATCTCATCCTTGTATAATATTTTTTTGATATAATCTATATTATAAATGACTCTTACCTGTTGTAGCTCAGGTAAGCACCTTGCATCATCACTACTCAGAATGTAATATTCAAACTTTGTGACAATGAACACATTAAGGGGTCCTTTCTGGGCAAGTTGGTTACATATTGGGTAAATGTAAATGATTGGAGAGTCCTCAGCCCTGAGGGAGGCAGTCCTCAGTCACAGTGGTGGTCTGTCTCCGCCACACGTCGCTGCAGCTTCAGTAATGCTGTTGTTGCTTCTGGAGAGCAGAATATTCCACCAGCTGCCTTTCAAAGCTTCATTTGCCTGTGGTGCAAGGTGAGGGGGCTGCATTAAAATAATGGCATTAGCATATCAACTCGCCCTCTGCTATTGGAGGGCTGGAATATAACCTCATAGAACAAAGGGCTATTTGCCAATTCTGGAATTAATTTCATCCGGTTTACCCCACCTCACGTAGAAGGAGCGGCCAGATTGGATTTGCATTCAAATGGAAGCCAGTGTCCGTCTGATACGGCGCAGGAGGCCAAATCATGGGAGTGATATAATTGCCCTCAGTCCTTCCTCTGTTTTGTCTGAGGCGGCCTCCATGCAGGCACCCACCGGCCGGGGGGGTGTGCATCACTGTGTGGTCTGCTTGTGAAGCACACAGTGAATGAAATCTGAATAAACCGCTACTGAATCTGAATAATGTGAATAATATCACTTCCACCCACCTGCCTTGCTGCTTCTATTCTCAAGCGCCTGGCTGTTATAATAATAATAATAATAATATATATCTTTACACGTAAAGCACTTTTCAGACACCAGGTGCAGCTCAAAGTGCTTTAACAACATGGCACACGTCACAAATTAACTCACTCCAGGTCACACGGTAACACCTTTTTGCAAACATGCAGCATAGCAACATGATATAACAGTGTAAGGGACGCAAGGAGGTTAAAGGTATGATAATACAAATAAAATACAATAAAATAAAATAAAGGAAGACATAAGACAAAATGAATAAATAAAATAAAATATAAAAACCTATAAATTAAATAAATAAATAAAACAATAAAAAATGTAATAAGAATAATAAATACTAAGAATAATAAAGGTTAAAATACCAACTTAAAAAGGAATGTCGCTAAACTGTAAAATAAACAAGTAATGAACATAATACATTATACTATATAATATAATAATAATAAGTAAAAACCTATAAAATAAGTCAATAAATATAGAGATTAAAAGACCATTTAAAAGTGGTGTGTCGCTCATAAAAAGCTCATCTAAAAAGACGTGTCTTTAAAAAATGTCCACTTGCGTCGGCCTCTTGGATATTTCCTGGTTGGGGTTTCTACCCAAATGTTTTAAGTATCAATGTCGTCTTTTTTTAGCAGAGTTTAAAGGAGTGCGGCGAGGAGAGGAAGGGAGCTGTGGAGGGGCGAGCGGGGGGGCTCTTCGATCCAGATGTGGCCTACAACCTGTTGCACACACTGTTCTAATGGCCTCCTGGCTTTCAGCACTATTGAGGTGAGCCCACGTCATGTTAATTAGAGGATCATGTACACACAATTATGTGAATCAACACACTTTCCCATGTAGGCACTTTGGTTTTTTCCCTAGGGCGGAGACTCTTGAAATGTACTTTCCTCTTCACAGCTTAGATTCTTGATTGCGCACACTTGTGACCACATGCTGGAATCCTGGAAAGTGCCTCTTACATGCTTTTCACAGAGCGTCTGAGTGAGCCACTTGAGCCTTGATCAGCCATCTACACCATCACATGCAACACCCTGAGTCTCTCAGAGAGTGACACCACACCACTCACTGCAGGAACAGGGAGAGAGGACACAGTTGGAACAACACATTCCAATCAGAATGTTGCGTCTCTACTATGTTATTATCTATAGTTGCTCGTCATAGTGGCATTATAAAGGAGAAAACTTTGGAAGCTAACTGCTAATTTAGCTTCAGTTCAGGTATCTGTTAGCTGTTAGCCGCACACATCGTCTAAAATGGCCCAAACTGGAACAGAGGCTCCAACAGGCTGGATAAGAGGAGTGATGAGTCAGCATTTATTGAGGGTGAAAAACAATCAATAAAATATTTGTATCAAAACGTAAATCGAAACAAGCACCACCAATTATCCTTGAGCATACAGCAATGTTTTTAAAGCTGATTGGTCCATTTGTGACATATCCAGAAGAAATATCACATGTGTACAAACTCAAGCACACACAGAGGAGATTATAATTTACTAAACACAATGTCACACAATGTTGCTTTTGTGTTTTTGAAAAGCTAGAAACAGAGACCTCCCTCTGACTGCTTACCACGGTTCCATGCACAAAACGTCTGCATGAGGAAAAATCCAAAGCTTGTAGAGTCTGCAGTGATCACACTATGTCTGTTTCGGGGACAACTTTAGCAAACACTGGACTATGGTCACACAACCTGAACTGTACTTAAAGCACCCTGATGAGATCATTTGTCAATATAGACACAGTGTGCAATATTGAAAGATGCAGTTAAATGTAATCAAAATATATTCTCTATTTATTGAATTGCGCACCCTGTCATTATTAGGGGGTTCAATCATAACCAAAGAGGCTGATTTATCCACAAAGGCCTCCTCCTGTTCAGAAAGAAACGGACCCTGTCATTAAACGGGTAAACCCCTGATTACAGCAGTTTTGCATTAAACAACAGTGTTCTCCACTGCTGTTCGGCTGCCACTTAAGTTAGATCAGCTTGTTTCTTACTTAATATCTACAAGTCTGATGTCTATAAATCCTTAATTCGGTTACAATATATAGTTAAACGAGCCGGGGTGTAATCTTCGAAAACAAACAACATCATTTCAGGCGACCAAATTACATTTACTAGTGCCTTTAATGAAATGATGAAATTCTCTGGATTTGTTATGAATCTTTGCTATAGGTGCAGTCACATTTAGTGGGTAAATGTTAAATATTTGGTTATATTAAGATGCAGAAAATAAAATGACACATGGCATTGCCTGTCTGTCTTTCCACAATGGACCCCATTAGCCCGTTTTATGTTGTATTTCTCTCTTTTTGGCACCCACAAACACTGTGCTCTATTGCTCTGGTTCAACTTGCGGCGTCATGCATCGGCAGGCTCCCTCTGTGGAACAGCAGCGCCGCTGAGGCTCCATTAGATGCCAGGCTCCGGCTGAGGGGGCAGAGCTGTCTCCAATGCTGGCACCAAAGCTTTACCATCCAACAGAAACATAATTCTTGCCGTCCACTTTCATATCCAGCCACTCCTTCTTAATTCCCAGAATGTCTCAGCTCTCTGAGCTGGCGGCTGTTACAGCTGCTGGGACATGCTGCTGCTTGACACATTTTCTCTTATTGGTCACACCAGGACTATGACAGCCAGGCAATATCGACTGACCGGCCTCGACCTCTGCTACAGCTGCCTCCATGTTCCACTTACACTGAGCATTACACACTGAGCATTACAAAGAGAGACTGCACTGTGTTCTCTTGAACAGATATTAGTTTGTGTTTCTTTAAACACTTTCTTTAATAATGTCCATGTTTCTGTTAATTTAAAAGAGTAATCTTCCCCTTGCTGTAGTGAAGTAAAAGTGTAAATCTTAGTGGTTGATTGTTGAAGTTGATAGGTTAGGATACAACTGCTAACCACTAATGTATACTCAGCTTGTTTTCCTGATGACCTAAGAATCTGACATTAAAGTGGTTATTACTGGGAGCAGAGCTATCCACAGATATCTCCTCCTCTCCAAAACAGACCCGATGATTTAAACTAGTACAAACTGTGAATACAAATATCTGCAAATTAACAACCTCTCTTTCTTCATTTAAGTCAAAAGTAATTTTGTGTCCAAATTATGACTGACACAGGAGTGTAGTACCACCACTTGGCCTCTAGGAGAAAGTGCTTCACCACCTTTATATATACAGTCTATGTTCACCACCCTGCGCTCTCCCTGGGTAGCACCTCTTTGTAATTATTGTAAGGACCCGGACCCCCCCTTTTAATATGTACTTCTAAAGTGTCACTCCTTCGAGCATCATCAGTACATTTCTCGGGTTGAGCCCAATCTAAGCAGCAATCACAGTCTGCCAATCTTTACATCCACAATTAATTAGTATAAAAGTATAATCGTTTAACATTAGGCTCTTATAGGTCAAGAACATAATAGATTACAATTGGAATCCTCACTTCTTTCCCCATATAATAAAAAACGAGCTAAGTACATGCATGCGGAAGAAAAGCCAGTATCTGTTGTATTCACAGCAACATGGAGAAGCAAGCTTACCAAGGTTCACTTAAGTAGCTTCATTTGAATTAGGTTGTGTAGCCAGCAGCTGGCTGAGGTTCCTCTGTGCATGTTAATGTTTCATATTGTGTTCTCACCCTAATCCCAGTTTATATAGTGGGCAGGATTTAGAGATGTTCTGTACGTTCAATATACATATATATATAGTTCCTACAATGCATTCCGCTTAGTCAGGAAATAAAGTGCTGATTGAATTCACACAAAGGGAGAGGAGTCTAAAAGCTTTTAATACAGCAGCAGCCAGGTACCGCGGTTAGTGACAGATTTGATTTCAGCGCTTTCTCTAAAATGCTGATGAAGATTGAAAGGCCAAAACGGCAGCGAGCCATTTGTGTCAGTCAGGCAGCTCCTTTGCATTAAAGAAGTACTGAGATGTATTTCCCTCTCCCTCCTCTCTCGTGGCTCCATCTCTGTACCTGTCTTCTCTTACTCTCAGTCTTCACCCGGCTGTTCACTCTCCTGCGTTTCATCTTTTGCTCATTTGTTTAGAACTGTATTTCATGTGCAGTGGATCAGATGCTGTGTTTCAGAAACACATTGGAACCATTTGACCAAGTGTGGCTACATTTAGACAATCTGTCTGTTTGGATTTGATTTTCTTTAAAGGCTTGGGAGAACATCTTAAAGAGTGGTCTGCATAGGCTAAAATCCCTGTGTTCCCTCCAGAGGGAGTTTCTCTCCCACACACACATACTGTACACACAACCCCCCACCCTGCCTGAAACGCATCCACGTTTACTTCCTAAACATAGCGACAGCACAGGCAGTATGAGAAAAATAAAGACCGTTTTAAACATTGAGGCATGTAAACATGTCACAGTAGAGACACTAAATACTAATATGAACCTGAAAATGAGCAGAATATCTCCTCCTATCTCCTAAAAGCAAAATAACATTATATGACTTCATACACTTCAATATTCTACACCTAAAGAAGCAAGTTGGAGATAAGTATTTCTAACAACATGTTAACTGCAGGGGCTGGGGGCCGGAGCACTGACCCTCTGATTGGTATACGACGTGTATTTATCCCCCGAGCGACAGCCTGCCTTATAATGGAGAATAAAACCCACAGAATCACATGCCTTTACTACTTTAAAAACAGAAGTGAACTGTTCAAAAGTGGAAACTTAACCAGTTTAGACATTTAATACAAATGTTCTAACAGCCAACATGTGGATATTGTCTGTCTCCCACTCTCTCCCCAGGATGAAGTACATATGGACGGGCCATATGTGTGCGGTGGCAGCCTACGGTGTGTGTGGGAAGGAGCTGTGGACGCTGCTGCTCAGCACCCTCAGGTGCAACAGTAAAGTTCTGGTACGAGATTTAAAGTACTGCTCACTATCAGCTCTGAACACGTGTTTGTTTATTTTCCTTTTTTGATATGAAAAACCTGATATCAGTCTGGACTTAAGATCTTTCATTACACACGTTTGCTGGAGAAGCTGCACTAATCGATATGTTTCTATTAGCAAAGGATCAATTGCTTGTGTGTATGTCAGAGCAGTCAGCTCTAAGGAACTCAAAGCCTCTTTAAGCTCTTTGGTTTGGGTCAAAATGCTCATACACGAGACAAACACAAATATAATGTAATTAACTGATTTTAACTTTTAAAATACATATAGCAATACATATATATTTATTGCTTATAAATAGTATCTCCATATTTTTAGGCAATGCTGCAAAATACAATAAATATCTCCACATTTAAATGTTTTGTCTAAAATAATAGAAAAGTCTGACTTAACCGTTTAATGTGTATGATCATACCAGCAAGAGCATTCAAGTAAACCAAGCTGAGTAATGTGAGCTGGTCTACTGTCAGATTACTGTTACATCAAAACTAAAATAGGTATGAGTATCAGGATTACATTGTTACTGAAAAACAGTAAAAGGATCAGATTTTATTTCTGCTTTTTAAACTGTAGTCTGTGCTCATGTGTTTCAGTGTTGGTGTATAGGCTGCTGCCTGAATATGCTTCATGAAAGACAGCTTTTCTTATCAATAACATCTCTGAGCAGAGAGATCTTAAATATCTGTGTCCTCTTTTCTAAGGTCACATTGCTCTGTTCTCTTACACAATACACTTAAGTAAAAAACATCTCATTGATATTTATTTTATTTTGTATTACTTTTATGCGTTCACACACCTATTACTTTTCTTTTTACAGGTAACGGGTAATTGTAACCCTCCCAACCCTTACCTTTACTCTTCTTCCTGCATTTCTCTGGTGATAACAATAGCAGGGAGGCCACTAGGTGTCAGTGTGGTCCCAACATCAGTGCAGCGTTAGATCAGATAAGAAATGGAATCTTGTGAGCAGTGCTGCTGTGTGTGTCGGTTATCTCTGTGTTATCTCCCTCTGCGCTGGTCTTCATTTTGAGCTATATCTCTGTCTGACTCTCACTTCCCCCATTACATTCTTTAATTTCATTACAGCCGTTTTCTCTCTCATTTTGCAGTTAAGGCTTGTCAGATATGCAGTCCCGCTGCTGGTGATCGCTTGCCTGTATTACAAGGTATGCCATTTACTCGCTGGTTCATGTTCATCACTGTGTAGTTGGTGTTATTACCGGGTAAAAAACCATACGAGCAAAGTAGAAAAATAAATTGAGGAAGAAAATGAAAATGAGCAATTGATAACCTGAAATTATTGCTTTCCTATTATTTATTTCTCAGTGGTAAGAGTCCAAATGGCTGTTATATTCTTTACATTATTCAAATGTATTTTAGTAGTGTTTTTTTACGGCCTTAAAGGTAGGGTTGGTAAGTTTGAGAAACCGGCTCGAGATCGCTAGAATTTGAAAATACACAACCGGAGAAAATCTGCCACTTCCTTACAGAGCCCCTCCTCCAACACACACGAACGCGCACATGACCAATGAGGGCACGAGATAAGTTTGTGCACAGATGGAAGTCTGACAGGCAGGTAGGCCATCCAATCATTTTAGCCGGGCCGGCTAAAATGATTGGTCGTGCTTTTTACAGTACCATTTTTTAATGGATTTTTTGTCAAAGCACTTCAGATATTCATTGCTATCGGGATGTTAAGAGCATTCCATGGAATATAACAAAAAGTGTATCTCGAGCCGGTTTCTCAAACTTACCTACCCCACCTTTAATGGATGCTAACTGTGGCTTTTCCATCTCTTGTCTTGTTTGTTTCTCTCTAGTTCTGGCCTAAGCTGATGGAGGAGTTATCCGAGCTGAGGGAGTTTTATGATCCAGACACTGTGGAGCTCATGACCTGGATTAGGTACACACACACAAACACACACATGCACACACGCACAAATCCGGAGCATGCAACCAATAGAAGCAAATCTGATTAACTTGTTTCAGCGGATCAAGTTTCACTTTGTCTGATGTCCTTGATTAGTCAACGTGTGTGTGTGAGCGCGTGGATGTGTGTGTGTGTGTGTGTGTGTACATGTGTATCGCTTGTTTGCGGGGGAGTCTGGCCGGTGAGTGAGTGATGAGAGCCGATGGGCCCCCATGAATAAGACTGGGGGGTGCTGGAGAGGACCCAGCTGTTGGCAGAGCTGCACCCACCTCGGGGTCTCCTCGCCTGGCTTTCACTCAGCGGCGTCCCCCTGATGGAATCAGAGACTTGGAATGGCTCTGTACTGTGTGTGTGTGTGTGTGTGTGTGTGTGTGTGTGTGTGTGTGTGGGTGTGTGTGTGTGTGGTGTGTGTGTGTGTGTGTGTGTGTGTGTGTGTGTGTGTGTGTGTGTGTGTGTGTTGTGTGTGTGTGTGTGTGTGTGTGTGTGTGGTGTGTGTGTGTGTGTGTGTGTGTGTGTGTGTGTTGTGTGTGTGTGTGTGTGTGTGTGTGTGTGTGTGTGTGTGTGTGTGTGTGTGTGTGTGTGTGTGTGTGTGTGTGTGTGTGTGTGTGTGTGTGTGTGTGTGTGTGTGTGTGTGTGTGGACAAGGACACCACAATGCCAAAAAAAAGTATATCTTTGTCACATTTTTTATACATTTTTTACTCTAAAGTATATGAAAAGCATGTGTGGATATCTTTCTAACACTTTACAACTCACAATCGGGGATTTGTGATCCAGTTTTTGATTATTTTAGATTTAAAAGGCATTCGTTGATATTAATTCTACATTTGTGGATTTGCATTTTACACACAGCATTTTACACAAAGTTCCCGCCGGCCTGAATTCAAATCCTCTTGTATCATGCTACTTTCTGGAGAGCACTTGAATGCTGATGACGTGAGAGCATGCACTTTTGTTACTACTAACCTGAACGAATTAATGTCCGTTTTTAAAAAGTCATTGTAAACATTGGTTTAAAATCGGTATTAAGAAGATATTATTGACAGAGACACATTATAAAGACATTTTGACAAATGAATTGGATTTAAGAGTAGCCGGTCAGTGTAATTACATTTCGTCATATTTTGTTAAAAAGTGCTGCCTTAAGCACTTTTTAAAGATAGACACAGGTTAAGGCTTTTTTATTATGTGATAAAGTCCTGGTTCAGTGTCAACGACGAATGTAATCCAGCCTGTCAGAACACTCTCCAAGTAACAGCCACAAAAGTTCACCAAAGTGTTTGTGCTCATACCAAAGTTCTTGACACGCCTCAGAAAGTTTCTGTTGTGCCTTCTGCAGTTGTTCTCATCGCAGTTTGTTGTTAGATCTTCAGCTTCTCTCTTGTCAGGGTTCCAGCAAATCGTAAAAAGTGTTGGGGCATCAAATGGATGGTTTTAATCTTTATTACAACTTCTTCAATCCATCTTTTGAACGTCCTAAAAAAAGACGCTATATTGGAAGTTGCATTTTTGCAATTTGAGTACAAAAAGTAATCGGTAACATTTATCTGTTAGATAATTCACTTTATGCCTCTAGCATTAATCCCACAGGAAAATCACTGATATGTAATGTTGTATTAACTCTTCTCTCTTCTCGTGTTACATTTTTGTTCACATTTAAAGGAGATGATCCTAATGTTTCATTGGATAATCAACCTATATATCGTTTTATATATATATATATAGATACTGTATACTCTCTCGTCATTCACTCATCAAGTGAAGACATTAGAATGATAAATAACAAAAGATAATGTTTTATTTTGTATATATATTTTTATTTAATTAATAGTCTTTTTTCATTTAACGTATATATATATATTTTTTTATATTCATATTTTGACTATAATGTAGTTTTGTACAGTATATCAGTGTAAATTAGGAGTAAAGCAGTGAGATAGGCGACTAGCACAGTTAGCATTTTCCATAATCAAAGAGAGACCTCCGATATGACGGCGTAATCAACTGGCCGAGGTTAGCCACTACACAAAAAGTTTAATAAAGGAATGGGAAAAAATGTTACAGCAAAAGATCAATGTTCCCATTTATTTCATTGAAATTAAATGTTTTGCTTAGAGTCCTCACACATGCCTGAAACTAGGTGAGCTAAGATAGTTTTTTACAGCAGATATGACCAACCGAATGGCTTGTAAGATTTCTGAGTGCCATTATTTTCAACTAGTGAAAATCTTTTCCGGGGGAACAAATCGTTTGACTGTGTCTGTGTTTTCCTTCATGTTGTTCTTGTCATCAAACATATTTCAGACAAGATTCTGATGATTGGCAAACACTCTATTGAAACAAAATGCTAATCAGACCCAATTTAGACTGAGGTCTTTCCCATAGATAATCCCTGTACTTCACTGAATAAGTCATGATTCAAAGCTCATTATTTCCATTTTATCATCATCATCATCATCATCATGATGACACTGAGTGGACCAGATGGGATTTTTTAAGAAATGGAACATTTTGGTCTAATCCTATTAGACACATAGTGGAATGGCGCTTAGAGAGAGAAGGAGAGATGGATAGCGAGGCGGAGGAGGAGGAGAGTTTGGGATTGTGAATGTATTTGTGCGTGTGACATGGGTTCCCTTCCCTCCGGAGATAATCCCATTAGGCTCTGAGGATTAGGGCCTGCCTACAGTTACCTTGGTTGGGGCTGAGAGCGGGGCGGAGCGCTAAACTGCTTGCTGCTGCGCTAATTACATTTCAGATGAAAGTGTTAAGATGGAGGAAAGGCCTTCATGTTACGCCGTATTCTCCTGCTGAATGAGGCCGAGGCTATTTAGTTTAACATGGACATATCTTGGGAGATCGTCAAACTGTGGCATAATGAGGGGAAGAACAAAGACACATGTGGAGGAGAGGATACATCTAGGCCTGGTAGCGTATTTATGTAAAGCTGTCAGGGACTCGTGGTAATTCTAGCTGCAGGGGATGCATGTATGAATCATGTACCACTAATAAAGGTTGCAGAAAAGGATTTCATGTTGTTGCTAAAGTGGGATCTTTATCTGATTTGGCCGCGTAAATGACTTTAACAAGATAAAAAATCGTCTAATTTTCAGAATTTGTATTTATACAAAGAGTATCCGAATCAAGATCAGGTTTAGGAAAGGATAAAGATATTAATTGAAACTAGGATAAGGATTAGATTAGCTAATGAGACATGTGCTACTAATGTGTGTTAAAGAGGCCCTATAATGCTTTTTGGGTTTTCCCATTGGTGTGTTATCTAGGTTTTTGTGCATGTAAATAGGCCTGTCACGATAATTAATTTAGTTGGACGATACATTTTACCGGAAATTATTGCGATAAACGATCATATTGTCGGCACCGTTGTGAGACCATTTTAGACCACTGACATAATGATAATATATAATAATAATTCAAGTACATCCTTTCAAACAGAACTTTTTATTGAACATTCAACATGGCAAATGAAATGTGAAATAATATTCAAATATATAAATTATATATAATAAATAAAACAAATACATTAAATTATAAAAAAATAATTGAAATCACCCACAACCAAAACAATCAATTAAATAGACTCTATCCAGCTATCAATAAATAAATATATATAAATAAATAAATATCATATCATATCCAAATCTGTATTTCAAAGATTTCGAGCTAGGAACACCAACATGTTTGCATTGTCGGGCAAATGCATCTTTCATTGCAAACTGTCGGGAAGGTGGGGGCTCTCCATCTCCAGCTGCCATGTTTGCTCCCAGCTGGGTAAACGGAATGGGGTGGTTGTGTGTTTCAGGTGAAGTTTAAGGTTGGTCGTATTGCTAGCTTTTGTTGCTACCTTTTTTAAACAAATGCGACACACCGCCCGGCTCATTCAAGCCCGTAGGTTTGCCTCGTTGATTTGGCTTAAATCCAAAATATTCCCACACCGGAGATGGAGTTAGGTTTTGCAACCAATTCCATTTAACTTCAAATTCCCCTCGAGTAAGTTGTCTCCTGCTTGTCTCTATATTATTCATTTGGCTGCTACACTGCTGCACGCGGAGTGTCCTGACATGGCTGTGTGTGAGCCCCGCCCCTCACAGCACGCCTGGCCGGCAGCCACAGCGCGCCTGGCTAAAATGCTGGTCACATTCTTATGTAAACAAACACGCATGTAAACGGCAATTTATCGAGGTCAGAAAAGTTATCGAGTTCATTTTTATTTATCGTACGATAAGTCAATTAATTGCTTATCGCGACAGGCCTACATGTAAATGGTCTGCAAAGGCTAAAATCTGTGTGTTCCATCCAGAGGGAGTTTCTCTCCCACACACGGCCTTATGATAATCCCCTCATCATAAGGGTCCCTATTACACTATGCAGGATAGTGGGTCATGACCTGGACTCGACATGTTTGAAGAACTAAGGGCTAGGTGAAGGTGATAACAACCGTCTGTACTTTGAACAACCATATTTCACGAGTTTCCACTTGATAAGAGCTGCTCCTCGGCTCAGCTGTAGGCTGATACTCCTCTCTAAATGGACAGTCGATAAATCAATAGCAATTCCTAGTCGTTCCACTGCCTCCAACCTTGAGTTATAGTTGTGAGCGTGCAGTTTAAAAAGCCACCAACATGGCCTCTGTCTGACCCATATGCAATCTGCCTCTCTGCTCCTTTGAATTTGCACACTTGTATTGCAAAAGCAGTATCCATCAACGGTAGGCTATAACAAATCCAGAAGTGCTGATTAGCAGCAGGTTTTGACATATGAACTAGATGTCTGGCACGGAGCGTTCAGGGCAGTGCGGTGCTACATGTGCAGCATTCACAGGAGCCGCTCACTCTCAGGCACATGTTTGATAAAGAGGCTCCAGACTACAGGCTCACAGATAACCACAGCACAAACTCAGCTCTGTCATCTCACTGCAGAGCTCCGAGGCTGCAGTGGGAGTAGGTGGCACAG